GGTGATGCTTCGGCTATTGGGTGTGGAGGAGATGTGAAAGCAGTGAAGAAGGTGGTGCGCTTCAACGACGTGGTTAAAGTCTTCTACTTCGAGAAGTTCTCCACTTCCAAGTGCTTGATGTTGATCCAGCAGAAATAGGCTAATTTGCTTGGAGACACTGACGACAGACGTATCTGTCGAGCCGCTCGCCTCACCGGCTGCACAGCACGTCTCAATACCTTCGCGGCAAGACGCAATAAACATGGTGAATTGTGCTATGTGCTGACTGTGGAAGGGAGACGGGACTCGGACGTGGAGAGATTCAAGAGACTAATACGCGACAAGTTTCCCGACATCCTCTTCACTCGTGCTTGAGAGTGTGCCCACAACATGTCAGCAACTCCGATATCCTCTACATAAAACTGATTATCATTTCCCCACTGATTCCGCTGTTTCCACTGATTCCACTTCCTCCTCTTCTTCCTACCCATTGGCACTGCACCAAATGCAGCGGCTCGTGCAGACAGATATTACGCAAGAGCAGAAGTGCAGATTGAACCAAGTCAACGTCAACGGCCCATTCATCCAACCACAATCTGCCAATGCGAATGCGAATCCGCATATGCATCACTCAACTAGTGAATAGTAAGTACTCCTCGTTCTTCGTGCTCTCTCCCATGAGTGCAGAGACGCCGAGGGGAATTGGCCAGTCTACAAACTGAATTTATTAAGTTATTTTGTTTAAATATGGAGCATCTATTATCAAACATCAAAAGCACAAACTGAAATAATAATAATAATAGTGCCAGGCAAATGAGAGCATCGTTTCTACAAATGTATGAGAGGACTCGTACCAAAATCGGAAGAGGCGCCAATCATAGTGTAGCGGATTGCTACTTTATTAAAGCCTGGCCGACTCAGAAATCTCTATGGCAGATTCTCCAACATCTAGCTAGTCTCCCAGAACAAGCTCAGCTATAGCCCAGCTATAAAGGAAACAGACGTGTAGCGCGGAATACGTTTATTCGGTACGTATATTGATAGCGAAGTGCCTAGTTTGGCAACGCGATTAGTTATCAGATAAATCTAGCATAATTCGCCTGAACATTAATAGCTAAATATCTCTGAGTAAGCAGGATTTCTATTGGTCATTGATGAAGTGTCCCCCAATAGAACTCTTGTGAGCTTTGTTCGCCTTGCCAATGCCTTCAAAGCCGTTTTTAATAAACAATCTTCTAAATATTGTGAAGTTAAAGTTTTTCGTCTCAGCTATATCGATTAAAATAGCATGTTGACGAGGACTATTCAATTATCGCTTCAATCAATACTGTTTACACTGCTTCAACCTTTGACACAGGCATTACAAAAACAGTTTTCCTGTTAGAACAATGAAATGAAGTCTTAATCTGTAAAGTCGGCGGTCACGAGATCAATCCTGAAGTGTGAGTTACTTACTGCCCAGATTACCTCCAGTCAACTAGAAAGATGGTAGAATAGGTGCTTCTTCAGGTCATCCTGTTTTTGGTCAAGACAAGTTCTTCGCATAACTCACCTAATGATCTTGAGATATTACAAGAAATTTAAAAAAATATTGTTTCATACTGACAAATCTACACTCCGCGGCTCACATTGATTATTTGCTCCCAAAGCCATAATTCCTTAGCAGTCAACAACATCATAATTCGTACTACAATCTATGTAGGCAAATTATCAGGTACGGTAAAGTTATAGACAAAAAATTAACAAAATAATAATAATAATAATAACGTGCACGCGGTAAAGTAGTCCGAGCTCACATTAAAAATAATAAATTAAGATATAAAAGTTAAAATCGTGAACAACAAAATCAGGAAAATTTATAAATAGCAATACATTCGTAAGCAGATGAGCACGAATTTACACCGTGGAAGAGCATTCGAACACAACGAATAGTGAGACAGTAAGGCATGGTATGGCATGGTATGATATGAATGAGGGGCAGTGAAGAGATGGAGAGTAGAAAGCGTCTCACCGAATGTGGTCAGTGGATCAAGGTGACATTCATCAGACCTTGCCAAAATCCTCAATCACTTCCATTTTCTAACTAACATATATATTCATGCAGTAAAATGAACACATTCTACCTATGAATGAGATAGTCAGATGGAGGAGTCATTATTCAAAAAATAATCATAATAAAATAATAATAATAAGAATAATAATAATAAGAAGAAGAAGAAGACAACGACGACGAAGAAGAATAATAAAAGGAATATGATAACATTTTTGGCTATTTCAATTATTGGCAGCGATATGCTATTAG